TTTGATTTTGAAATAAGTGACACAAGTCAGTAAGTTCCCTGCACTTTTGCAGAAGCCAGTTTAAATGTCATTGTAAACAAAAAGCGTCACACAGCTCATCGAAGCCAGGTTTGGGAGTTAGGAAGCCAGACACGTCAACACTGAGGCCAGCACTTCCTCCACGGCACATATGAAAGGGCTGAGCCATGTCCTAAACACATGCTGTGTGTCCCCCAGACTTCAAGTGCAGGCAACTCAGTGGAGACCACGTGACACCTGAGTGGACAGCCACAGACTCCCATCACTGCTGGGAGGACGGAGGAGTCGCAGCCTGCTCAGCGAGGCTAGGTTCCTGGACCTTCATTCTCTCCACTGTCAGTTCCAGGGTGCCCCGGCCCCCAAATGGCAGACAAAATGCTGCTGACAATGTCCTAAATGACAGCCTGGGCTCAGCTCAGCTGGACTCTGACCGGGTTAACCACCATGGTTACCACCAGGTAAACAAGAATCCAAACTCAGCGTTCCTCAGAAATCGAGTGAAGGGGGTTTCTGTTTGTCAGGAAAAGCCATTACTTCCCTTATCCACCCCCAATGGTCAACTAACTACCTTGGACAAAGGTCATCTAGTTCCTCATTAATCCAAACAGCCTGCAGTAGATCAAAGCCCTTCCGCTGAATCCCAGGCTGCTCTGGCTCACACCTCTTCTTCATTGGTGACTGTCCCCATAAAAATGACAAGGCTTTGCCCACTGCCTACTGTTCTCTGCCCCCTGAGAAACAGCCCAGCAGTTTGATTCCCCAAATAAACTGTCTTCCTACCCACAGTGTGGTCTAGTTTAGTGGTTTCGCTGAGCCTTTGCTTATAACCAGGATCTCAGGAAAATTCCATAAATGGGCACCTGCTCTCTATTCAGGAGATGGTTTTTGTGTGTAAAGAGACGAATGCAGCTGAGTCAGGTCTGGAAATTGGATGGGCTGACATACTCAGAAATGACTTACGGGCAAATGCCAGAGTGGCAAATGTCACTGGGCTGATGATATGGCAGTAAGAAAATGCTTTCCCATTCCTCAATCTGCTACCCAAAGCAAGCCTGTCTGGGGGTGGGTGGGGGGTATTTTTAAAGATCTTAGAAGAAATGGGGTGGTGTAGCTCTATCTTGTTAGTATGAAGATTTGACTGTTAGATACAAGACTCAAAATCACAGTGTGTGGGGGGTTGTGGTAGGAGATAGCTTGATTGACTTCTGCACAAGTATGAGGACCTACCTGAGTATGGCTCCTGTGTAAAAGCTGGGTGCAGTGGTGAGTGCTTGTAATTCCATTGGTGGGGAAATGGAGACAGATGGATCCCTGGAGCTCGTTGGCTAGGTAGTTTAGCTGAATGGATAAGCCCCGGGTTTCTTGAGAGACCCCACCTCAAAAAATAAGATGGAGGGGCCAGCAGGACAGCTTAGGGATAAAGACATCTGCCCCCAAGCCCGACAACCCTAGCTGAATTCTAGGAAATCACACGGGGAAGGAAGGAAAGTAGCTCTTTAAGTTGTCTTCCACCCCCACACAGATAGCACACGCCCCTCCCTCTGAAACCAATACAGATTGAATTAAAAATCTGAAGAGAAAAAAAACAAATGAATGATAGAGACACTGGATGTCATCAACTTTTGGCATTTACAAATGTACATGCACCCAAACACATGCATGAACACACACAATAGATAATGATTATAATACTTAATATTAACAAGATGAAAGTTTGTTTCTCTCCTCCATGAAAGCTGCTGGCCTGTCAGCTCCACTTGTGACGTCATCAGAAGGTCAGGCTCTCTCCAGGCTGTTCTGCTGAGTCAGGATGCTGACTCTCACAGGCAGGTTTCAAGGGGAGGCTTACATCTTTTAAGGGAGTGCCATCAAAGTCTAAAGGGCTCCTCTGTTAAAAGCACTTGCTGCTCAATCATGACTGGTCACATTTGGATCCCAGCTCCCATATCGTTCAGCTCACAAACATCTGTTAACTCTAGCTCCAAGAGATCTGATACCCTCTTCTAGCTTCTGAGGGTAGACACACATGTGTACACATACTCACATATATGTAAACACCAAACACACACACACATAAATAAAATAATTGTCAAAAAAGGATAGATTGTGAGTCTGGCTATTTTTGGTGTAAGATGTTTTTACTTTTTTGTAAGTTTTTTTTATTTTTTATTTTTTATTTTTTTTTTGTTTTTTTTTTTGAGACAGGGTTTCTCTGTGTAGCTTTGCGCCTTTCCTGGAACTCACTTGGTAGTCCAGGCTGGCCTCGAACTCACAGAGATCCGCCTGGCTCTGCCTCCCGAGTGCTGGGCTTAAAGGCGTGCGCCACCACCGCCCGGCCAAGATTTTTTTTTAAATAATAAAATTTATAAAATTAAAAATAGAAAAAGGAAGTTGGCCAAGTTCCTTTGGCCAGAACTTAGTTATGTGGCCACCCAGAGCCACAGTTGGTTCTTATTCCCGGCAGGTGCACGTCCAGCTGAGAAACTGGAAGCCCATTGCTGAAGATCCCAGATTCTCACCTCAGCACTCAATGTTTTTGCCCAAGTTATTCATGAGAGTGTGCGGGCTAAGCATTCCCTGCCTAAGCTGTGATACCCCAAACCTGCAGGCATCAGCCAATGTTCCTTTGAAGTCCAAGTGGCCTCCGACTGAGAAGTACTACTGTGGAGGGAGACACGGGACATAGGGAGATATGGGACATAGGGAGATATGGGCGACGACTTTCTCTGCCAGGTTCTGGGATGTTCTTCTTTCTTTTCTCCCGCAGGCAGAAGAGGGTGACACTTCGGAATACACACTTGGAAGCCAAGTGGACCGGACTCCAAATTCCAACCTTGGTTACATATGAACCATAATTCTTTCCTGCAGAAAAACTGGCTTGGTTGCTAGGTGCATAGAAACAAGAGTTGATAAGAATGTTTAGCACAGTTATGAGAATCCCTTCCTTGGAGACATTAAACAACGTCTACTCCTCTTAACGTCCCAACAACAAACCAAAGTATAATTCTACCAGAGCCCACTGTAGGGCTTTCTTGAGCATGAATGAGAGGTTGCTTTCAATTTTTTTTTTCTTTTCTTTTTTTTTTTTTTTTGAGACGGAGTTTCCCTGACTGTCCTGGAACTCACTCTGTAGCCCAGGCTGGCCTCAAACTCAGAGATCTGCTGCTTCTGCCTCCCGAGTGCTGGGATTAAAGGTGTGCGCCACCACACCTGGCTTACTTTCAGTTTTGTAGCTGCCGAGAAAACAAACTCAGTCCAGACCCCTAGATGGCAATAGAAGGATTTATTATTTCATAGGTTCAGTCTTCATGGCGGGAAGAAGTGGTGGGCCAGAAGAGTTCCCATCATGATGGCAAAGCAGGAGACAGAAAGACAGAGACACAGAAGGACAGAGACACAGAGAGAATGCCGGTGACGGCATGCTCCCGCCTTCTTATTTCACCCAAACCCCCAGCCTACAGGGTGTTGCTGCCCATTCTAGATTGATCTTCCTCTTTCTTAGTCTTTTCTAGAAGAGCCCTTGCAGACACAGGTAAAAGCACACTTTATGAATTGCTTCCCAATCTGACCATCAAGATTAGCCAACAGGTTTGGGTGAGGCATCCTCTGTTGGTTTGTGAGGTAAACAGATGTCCACTGCTGTCCTCCCACAATTGTCCTTAAGTATCTTCTGTATGGAAGCACCGGGGTCAATGGCTTATCTCACTTCACACTCCCAACCACGCAATGAGGTATCTATTACCCCATTTTCCGAATGAACAAGTGGAGTCTCAACTTAGTCCCTTGTCTAGGATGGGTAGCCAGTTGTGCTGGCAGAGTAGGGATGCAACCTTTCTTGGAGCATCGTATTCCTACTCAGGGAAAGCATCTGCCGGTGCCACCACTAGCCTCTATTTACTGTTTTTGTATGTGTACAGTGTGTATGTGTAGGGAATAGAGGGCTGTAGAAGCCAGTCTATGTTTGGACAACATAGTACTGATATGGATATGCTGCATGGACCAAGTTGGCAAAAAAAAAAAAAAAAAAAAAAAAGGCAGACCTTTGATGTCTGGGAAACTGTGATACAATCTTTTATTTAACTATTTCTGACAGAATGCCACTTTTGTGTGAGTCTGTATAAATATGGCCTTTAGGTTAGAGGGGAGAGCTGTTACCTTCCTGTGCCAGTCTGCCTGTCTGGAGACCTGTGTACCTACCTCCATGTGGCCTGTAGGTCAGTCCGCCGTGTGCTGGTATATACCTCCCTAGCAGCCCATGTGCTGGTAAATAAGGTTTATAGATAAGATAGTCTCATCTGTCTATCATGCTTTGCATTCTCGTCAACCTCCCAGCCTCCTGTGGCCCTTCTCTGTTCCTGGTTTCAGAGCTTGGACCTCAGTGTGTGGAGGTGTATGTGTGCTAATGTGTCAAAGACAACTGCCCTTCTACCTTTTTGTAAGATCCAGGGATCGAACTCAGGTCATCAGGTCTGCATGGCAAACCTTGAGTTTCATCTAGTGGCTGGCTCTGTCCCCTGATCCTCAGGCAAGTTTATTAGGGTACACAACATATCACCACACCTTGAACCATGGTTGACCTCAGAAACTCTTATGTAGCCAAGGATTATCTTGAACTTTTGATTCTTCTCCTTTTGCCTCTCAAATGCTGTGAGTACAGACACATGTTACCTCGCAGTTTATGTGGTTTCTGGGTCTTGAACTCAGGGCTTCATGCATGTTAGACAATTATTCTGCCAACTGAGCTGCAGCTCCAGTACATCACTAGCTCTTTTGATTTTTTTTTTTTAATTAGAAGCCTCTGGTTCTCCAAGACATATTACTGCCACCTGCTGGATCTGTCAAAGCAAAGACACAGATCCATGACAACACTCCTGTAGAGAGATGTAGGCCGACCTTGCACAGTGCACAACCCATGCAGCTTGGGAGCACTAGCCTCAATGTAGGGGACAGAGACTGCAGTCAGATGTTTATTGGATGGTAGTTCAATAAATTACACGGGTTTCTGATATTATGACCTTCGTGGCCTCTGGAATAGGTAAATGCTGGATGGCTGGAGTCAACTGGTTTCGGCTGACAAGCACCAGGTCAAGAGAGAGTAAATGTTTTTCCTTGTCTTGCTTCTTTTGATTCTTAGGTTGGTTCTTGGTCCTTGGCTTTGTCACCCCTGCAAAGAGTTGTTTTGAGGCCACTAAAGGGGGTGCCTTTACAATTTCTGTAGAGGATATATCCATGACATCTGTAGAGGGTGGCTTCATAACTACGATAGAGGGTACCTTCATGACATCTGCAGAGGGTGCCTTCATGACTGATGCAGAGGATACCTTCATGGCATCTGCAGAGGGTGTCTTCATGGCTGATACAGTGGGTGAATTCCTAGGAGGGTACAGGACTGGGTTGATGTTCTTTCTGAACCCATATGCCTGATCCATCAGTTGAAGCCTAGCTGTGGGATTTTCAGGGATATAGGTTTCTGTGGCCGCGGGGATAGGGACATGTGACTGCGGCTCTGGGTCCAGAATCTTCCCTGCTACAAAGGGACACAGGTCTAGGCAGTACAAGTTTTTAGCCTCAGGAAAGTAGTACTCACAGTTCCCTGGGAGCTGCTTGGACAGTTTTCTGACCGAGTCCTGTGTCTTGAGGAAGGACCCCTTGGACTTGTTGGTCTTGGAGGATTTGTTGGTGGCTTTGGGGCCTTCTGAAGACGTCTGGAGCAGAACGTAGGTCACTGGCTTTGAGGCTGGGACAATGTTCTTGGTTGTCATCATGGGGTGATGTCCTGTGATACGTTGGGTGGCTTCAGTCTGGGTCAGGGTTCACAGGAGGCAGTGGCTCATGGGTGGTTGGTGTGGTGCAGAGGTCCCTGGAGACACTGTCAATGAGGTGACCTCAGAGGGCACCCCATTCCTACAGGAAAAGAATTTCTGAGACTGGAGCAGGAATTCTAGGGAAACTCTCAGAAGGGAGGCTCTCTTTTTTCCTACTTCTCAATCATTTATCTACTGATTCTTGCATTTATTATGTGCTCACTCATTCCTTCACTTCTCATCTCCTTGTGGGTTGGTTCATATATTCAACCATTCCTTCTACATTGTTAACTGACTCATACTTTCATTAATTAATCCAATAAATGCTGGTCCTGCTGGAACTGGGAATGTCTACAAAGGGTTATGTACATGCCAGGTATACTGACAAGGGCTTAACACTAGCTTAAGGGCTGAGGAGATGTTCTGTGGCTCAAGGCTGGGGAGATGCTCTGTGGTTCAGGAATGGGGGGATGCTTGGTGGTTAAGAGCTCTTGATACTCTTGCTGAGGACCTGAGTTCAATTCCTATCACCCAAATGGCAGCTTAAAACCATTTATAACTCCAGTTCCAGGGAACCTAACAATTCCTCTGGTCTTCATGGGCACCATGCATGCATGCAGTTCATGTACATACATGAAAGTAAAATGCTTACATACATAAAATAAAAATAAATAAATAAATCTTTAAAAAAATTCAGCTTAAGCCTCTTAAAATTTTCATGAGGGAAGTGATTATTATAGACTGAATATCTGTAACCCCACCTAACATTCCTGTTGAGGCTTGCATTTGGGAGGTGTTATGTAGCAATTTCTTCTGACCTGGAACATTTCATATATCATGGAGGTAAACTCCTTAAGACTCAAAGTTCTAAAGGGAATGTGTAAAGACTGATGCTGTAAAAACAAACAAACTAACAAACAAACAAAACAAAACAAAACTCTCTGGATTCAGGAAGTCCCTAACACTTAACAGATTCACAAGGTCCCACCCCCTCTAAGCTTATATAAATGCTAAGAGTTGTGATCTGAGCAGAAGCTCTGAGCTTTTCCAGTCCAAAGTTCAAAGGTGCTACCACAATCCTCTCAAGACACACAGGCCTGTCACAGCAACACCCCATGACCTGGTATCAAGTTCTGTCAGAGTTTCTATTACTGTGGTAAAACACCAGGATCAAAAGCAGTTTGGGCAGGAAAGGGTTCATTTCACCTTTCAGTTTATAGTCTGTCATCCAGGGAAGGTAAGGCAGAAGACCATGGAGGAGTGCTGCTTCTTTGCTTGCTTTCCAGGGGTTGCTCAGCCTGCTTTCTTATGCACTAGGAGGACCACTTGCCCAGGGGTGGCATCCCCCACAGTAGGCTGGGTCTTTCTACATCAATCACTAATTCAGAAAATGCCCCCAAGACTTGCATACAGGCCAGTCTTATGGAGGTGTTTTCTTTTTTTTTCTTTTTTTAAAGATTTATTTTATTTATTACGTATACAGCGTTCTGCCTGCTTGCAGGCCAGAAGAAGGCACTCTTTATCGATGGTTGTGAGCCATCATGTGGTGCTGGGAATTGAACTCAGGACCTCTGGAAGAACAGTCAATGCTCTTAACCTCTGAGCCATCTCTCCAGCCCCCTGGAGGTGTTTTCTTAATTGAGGTTCCTTCTTGTCAGGTGACTCTCGCTTGTGTCAAGTTGGCAGGAAACTAACCAGGCCCGCTGCTGAGGAGAGAAGGCCGGTCAACCTGTGGAGTTGCCTGCAAGTTGAGCAGAGCGCTCCAGGGCTCTAACTTAGCAACTGTCACCCATATATATATATATATATAGGTGTGGGCTTTGGTGACGCCCTTGTCTCTGAGTCATCCACACTCTTGTAAGGAAGCCCTTGCTCACACTCTGTAGGCAATCCCAGTGAACGCATTGGCTCACAGGTTAGACTAGGATTGTATTGTTACTTCGGTTTGCCATTGATTCTCACTCTGGGATGAATCGATACTTGCTCATGTTTCCCCGGGAAGAATGTCACACAGCAGGAGGTCACGAGGGTGGGGCCCTGTGGTGGGATTAGTGTTTTCTCCCCGCTCCCCGCCCATTCCTTGGCCCTGTAAGGACACACCATGAATACACCGGGCCACCCGTAAGTCACCAAGAAAGCCTTTACCTGTAGTAGAGCCATTTGGCGCTTGCTTCTGAGCTTCCGGCCTTCACAACTGTGAAAAGTAAACATCTTCTGTTGAAACCATCCAGCAGAAGGTTTTGTTTTGTTACGGCAGCCTTAGCTGACTAAGGCATAGTTATCATCACACTCTCATTTTGGTATTTGGGGGGTGGGAGGGGAGGAGAAGGAGGAGGGTGGAACTGAGGTATCGCTCATGCCAGGCAAACACTCTAACATTGAGGGACTTCCCAGCTCTAATCCCTGCCTCCCCCCCTCTCTTGAGACAGGGTTTCTCAATGTAGCCCTGGCTATATTGGAACTCACTCTGTAGACCGGGCTGGCCTCACACTCAGAGACCCACCTGCCCCAGCCTCCAGAGTGCTGGGATTAAAGGTGTGCGCCGTGGCTGCCGCTGCTACCACCGCCCAGCCAAATTCCCCATTTCTATAGGTAATCTGTTGTTACAGTTTGGGAATGTCCCCAGGTGCCCTTGGGAGGTGGCAGAACATTTAAGAGGTAGAGGCAGATGGGAGGAAGTGAGGTCATTGAGGCATACCATTGAAGAGGATAGCAGGCCCTGTGCCCTCCCTGCCCCCTTCTCTCTGCTTCTTGACTGGCAAGGGGCAAGCAGCCCCCTCTGTCCTACCTTCCCACTGTGATGTGTCGCCTTGTCACAAGGCTGAAGGTGATAGGGTCAAACAACATGGGCTGAGACTTCTGCAACCATGAGCAAAAATGACACACGTCATCTGTCATGCTGAGGATGGAGCCCTGGTCCTGATGCCGTGCCTTTGAGTTACATTCACAGTCTCAGTTTTTTTGGTAGTGTCTCCCTATGTATCCTTGGCTAGTCTGGCCAGGACCTTGCTATGCCGAGATCCACCTGCCCCTGCCTCCTGAGTGCTATACCTGGTTCTTGGTTTTTTTTTGTTTGTTTTTTTTTTTTTTTTTTTTTTTTTTTGAGACAGGGTCTCTCTGTGTAGCTTTGTGCCTTTTCTGGAACTCACTTGGTAGACCAGGCTGGCCTCGAACTCACAGAGATCCGCCTGGCTCTGCCTCCCGAGTGCTGGGCTTAAAGGCGTGCGCCACCACCGCCCGGCGGTTCCTTCTTTTTAAGTTGACTGTCTCAAGTATTTTGCCGCAGCAACGGAAAGCTGATTGAGACAGCTGTTCTCTACAGAGCTAGGCAACAGCCAAGCTGGGCTTTGAATCCAGGCAGGTAGTTCTCAGAGTGTAGCTTCTCCCCTGCAATGCTGGACCACCTTCTGAAAACAAGGCCACCTCTCTGTTCCCAGGCCACACTTCAATGGGGTAAGTACTACTCACGAGGTGAGCAGAATAGTGGGGAGGGGTAAGACTTGGGGACCACACCAAGTGCTGTGGGAATCATGGGGGTGGCTTCTTCACTCACCTGATGGGGATGTGGGTGACATAAATGTTCTCTTGCTTACTGGTTAATGATACCCTCCTCATCTGTGACATCAAATCCACGCCTGGAAGAGGTCTTCGTGCACTTATGCAGGGACTTGTTGATGATTCAGTCACCACTGAGCACTAACTGTGGTGTCAGTGTTAGAGAAAGGGATAAAATTACCTCTGTCCATCGGGAGTGCACAATCAAGTGAGTGAAACAGTGGGGTGGCCACACCAAAGCCATTGCACACGGCTCTACTCAACCCTCGGAGCTTGTCTTGGCCTTTGAGGCTCTACATAGCTGTGGGCTGTAAGGGCCAAGGAGTTAAGAAACCTTGTTCTAATCCACTCCACCTCAACTCTATCACGCTGTGCGTTCAATTGTCTTTACCCCTCTGAGCCTTGATTTCCCAGGATCGAACATGGGGTAGTGCTAGGTAAATGCTTCATACTATTAATTAATCTAGTCAGTACCTCCTACATCTGTTTTCCACTTTCTCTGGTTGTGAAGTCTGACAGCATAGTCATGTATCACTGTTAAAACATTTTATTGCATCTATCCCCTCTTTCAGAGATAGAGTCTCCTGATGGTGACCTATGAACTCTTGGAGTGCAAACCATCCTTCCACTTGAACGTAGGAGTTGCTGGGCTCACTGGGGCATGCCATAATGCCCAGCTGTTACTAATCCATTACCACTTTACAAGTGAGGAGCAAACCCAAGATCACACGGCCTAAAAGTGGCGGAATGGAGTGGGCTGATGCCCTATAGATGTAAGAATTTCACTGACACAAAACTCAGTTGCCATTTTCACCAAATCGCTATGATATTCTGAACTAGGAAACCAAAAAGAATGACTAGACCTCAAAGAACTGCCAGAAATGACCATTCTTCCCAGGGGAGAGAATCCACGGCACAGTGGAGGAGCAAGCGGCGGCCTTTGGGGTAGGGCAGGTCTGGGTTCAGCCATTTTCTGATTGGAACCTTCTGTCTTCTCGTCTGAGGCAGCAGGTGAGAGGGCCTGTGACAGAGACGGGTTCTTGTCGCCTGCTGCGTTTGCATTTGTTTATGTTTGGAATTCCCTATAAAGTGAGGAAACTCCAAATAAACCAACGGCAAGTGGGGTTTGTTAACTTACAGGATTGGGAAGCTCGGTGGCAGGCCAAGGACTCAAACAGTAGTGTCAAGAATCTGTCTTTTAGCCGGGCAGTGGTGGCACACACCTTTAATCCCAGCACTCGGGAGGCGGAGGCAGGCAGATCTCTGTGAGTTCGAGGCCAGCCTGGTCTACAGAGTGAGTTCCAGGACAGCCAAGGCTACACAGAGAAACCCTGTCTCGAAAAAACCAAAATCTGTCTTTTGTCTCAGTTGCTGTCGTAGTTTTCATGGCTGTGATAAACACC